TCCCTCAGTCCCGGCGGTGCTCAGCCTACGTACGCCCCGCCGCCCTCGCCCCCGCGCACCCAGCCTGTAAGTTGGGGCAGGCGCTGGGAAGGGACACTTCTGGAAATTGAGCAACCCCTTGCCACCACTCCTTCCCGATTCTCACCCGAATGTCTAAATCCAAAGTTCTTAACTTTGGGGAAGGGTCTAGGATTCCTTTGAGAAAAACAAATGCACGTACACAGTGCAACATTCTTGCAAAATTTCAGGGCGTTCGCGGCGCCCACATAGAAACTTCTCCGAAGATCCGAGTAGGTCGAGATACTGAGCGCCGTGAGTAGGGCAGTCCGCCCTCCTCCCCGCCCGGCTAGCCTGTGCGCCCCAGTATTCTGATGCTCCCTTCCCGGTTGGTGCCTCTCCTATCAGTCGCGTTGACCACCCAAAGTGACCCCTTTCTTGCAGGGGGATCCTGATCAATTTCCGTATTTTTTTTAGTTGCGCCGAATGGCTTTCCCTCTGCGCTTTGCCATCAGCTTTTGAAATTTCGTTTTTGTCTTTCCAGTCTATTTCGCGCAGCCAGACCGGAATCTAGGCTGATTCGATCTCGCCTCTACAGCCGAGATTGCACCACTGCTTTACCCGTCCTGCATTCCCGTTTGGGACACACTCGCAGTGCTACTATAAAACGGCTGCCCTGAATCCACAAGCCGCTTAAAAATCGATCTTTGTGTGTGCGGCTCTTATATCCAGAGTCCATGTCTGGTTCATCTGTGCATCTCCCTCTTTTCTAAGACTCAGTTTCCTCATCTGGACAATCTTCATACAATGGGAGGATTTCCTGGGGCTTAAAGGAACTGATGTACCTAAAATACTTAGCCCCGTGGGGCCCTTGGTAAGCTTATAGTAAACGAAATATATAGTTGGTGTTATAATTATTAAAGTCGGCTCCCAACAAATGTTTGTTGGATTAAGGTATATTCACAAAGATCTTTGGACTAGAAGTTGATGGACCTCAATTCTAGCCCCAGCCCTGCATTTGCTAAGCTGATCTGGCGGGTCTGGTTGCTCTGAGCCTCAGTTTCCTTGTTGGAGAAATGCGGTTAGAGCAGCCGCCCTGCCTAGTAAAGGACAGGCTCTTGGGAAGCCTCAAGGCGCGTTCTGGACGTCAAGGGTTGCACTTGCTGATCAGTCAGACTTCCTTCCCCTACACTCGGACCCCTGAGATGTAGATTCGCAAGATCGGCTCTGGATCTTTGTGGCCATGGCTAAATTGACAGTCCTCTCTATCTACATGGTGTTATCACCATCCACTCAGCCTGCAGATCTCGGCTAGTTGAGTTTGCATCCCTTTCACAGCCAAGTCAGAGTTAGGGGCTCACATCGCTGCGACTGCGACTCTGGTTACTGGGTTAAGTCTGATTCGACCCTTAGGCACTCCCTGCCTCCTCCTGCCTGCAGCCTCTGGCTGTTCCTGAAGCTACTGCTCTTAAGGTGCTAACACGTTCTGAGGGATCTGACTCTGGGTGGGGGACCGAGTCTCCCCTCGCATTTATTTATAGACACTAGATTATCTTATTTTCTCAGCTCTTTCCATCTTTCCCTGGAAAGCAACCGGGGAAGGGATCCAACCCCTGGTTGGTAGACATCCCTCCCCACTTTGACCCCAGGCCCCCTTTACCCCACCCCACCCTGACCCGCAGCCACCTGGGGTTCCCAAGAGCAAAGACCCTCCATCTGCCTGTGGCTCAACAGCATGAAATTTAACAGTAATGCAGTTGTCTTGGAAAACTTAGCCATTCTGATTTCCTGCCCTGCCTAGGTTTCTGCCTCTAACTCTGGGCACTATCTTCCTTCCAGATCCCCCTCTACTTGCATTCCTCCGATTCCAGCCCTTTTGATTTCCCCCTTGCTAGATATTTTCCTCCTGAATAGTGCTGATGGTCTGATGTTGACATGGCTGCCAAGATCACCACTGCCCAGGATTCTTATCTCACCTCAAAACTGAACAACGCTGCCCACTGAGATCTGCCCAGGACGTGGGCCATTTCTATTCCCTCCCCTCATTCCCCCAAAGGGAAACAGATTTTGCCACATCCGTCCATCTCCCATTCCTGCCACCCCTCTTCTTCTCATGCCTCATTTATAGTCAGCAATCCGTTTTGTACGCAGAGCAGCCTCGTTAGTTTCCATGTTCATCATAACCATCATAACATCTCCATTTATTTATTGGGCACCTACTCTGTCCCCTGTGCTTCACACAAGTGTCTCTAATTCTCATTTGCATGCAGCAAAGTAGTTATTATTATTCCCCCATTGTGCAGATGAGGAAGCCAAGGATCAAAGAAGTTAAATGACCTACCCAGGCTTACAAAGCTGTTTAGAGACAGAGAAGGAAACCGAGTCCAGATCTGCCAGGCTTCCAAGCCCATGTTCTGCTTACTAGTCCACCCGGCCTCACTGTGGCAGCAGTGATGGCCCTGGCAGTCTGGCTCCCCTAGATCCTGAAGGATTCATTCTTAAACAGCATTCTTAAACTGATCCCTAGATCAAAGCCATCCATGATCCTGAGTTTAATAGGACAAACAGGTCTCATCTTAGATTGCTGGGAAAAGTCACAGCTACCTCTGTGTTCCCTTCCCAATCTCAACTGTCCTTCTGTGGAGATTACACTACGAGAATATCAAAGCCGGTCTGCCCATAAAAATTGTCTAGTGCAAGCCCTCATTTTACTGGTAGGGAAACTGAACCCCAGAACACGAAGGTAAGTAGCTCAAAGTCACACAGCCAGTTGGAAGCAGAGCAGGGACCAGAACCTCAGTCTCTTAATTCCTGGCTTCCCAGTTGCTCACTCTTCTCTACTCCCCACCCCCACCTCCAGGCTGCACTTGGAAGACTGCAAGCTGGTGACCGTGGACACCAACACATTCCTCCTATCCCCTCCTTTCCACTGCACTTCCACTGCACTTTCCACCTAGTTCCTGGGAAACTGGACAGGGTCCAGAGTTGAAGCCAAATGGTTTTCCTTCATTCATCCTTTATTCATTCAACAAACACGTACTGAGAGTCTACCTAGGGCCAAGTACTGCGCTGGACACTAGTTCTATTATAAATCTAAATATCCCTTGCATCCACATCCATTTTCAGTATGAAAGATGAACCCAGCTGAGGATAGTGCATCTGTATGTTGGGGTGTGTGTGTGTGTACACATCATGCCTGTGTGTACCTTTGGGGCTTGAATGTGGGGTGTCTGTCCTCTCTTCATGGTGGAGGCATGTTTCTCCCTTACTACTTCTGCAAGTGTTCTCTCATGCATGAACTTCCATGTGGTGAGTGTGTGCCCTGTATGTCTATTAATATTTGCCCATCTTTTTTCTCAGAATGAACTCCACAGTCGTCTATTAACTGATGAGTCCCCATTCCACTACTCCCCCAGATCCCAGCCCAGTCCAAAGGCCACCAAGGAATCCTCTTTGGTTCTTCATGCAGACCCCTTCAAGATCTCCCTCGAATCTCCCCCTCCCCAATTCAGAGAGAATCAAGGCTTCCACACCCTCTCTATGATCCCCATTTTAGAGTGGAGACCTGATCCTCTTGTCCCCTGAACTGGACAGGGAGCAGCCCCTCTTACCAGTCCATGGAGCCCAAAGCTGGCAGCGGCTGTGAGGGGCAAGTGGGGGTGATGAGAGAGCCAGGCTTTATAAAGGAGGCGACAGTCAGAGCCAGAGGGGGAGGTGAGAGACGTGGGCAGGGATGCTGCCAAGTCCTCACGGCCTCGGAAGCTTTTAGGATAATCCAGGAAACAGTGGCCCCCGGCTCTCCTGGGGGAGTGGTAGAGGGTAAGATCTGAGTCTCTGAGGTCTGCCAGGAAAAGAGGATTTCAGCTGGAAGAGGCAGCTGGGGGTGGGGGGTGGGGAAGCAGGACTTCCTTCCCTCCCCAGAGGTTGGCTGGGCAGTGGGAGAAGGACAAAGTGGTTCTTGCAGGATGGAGGAAATGAAAGCATCGCTAGGTGAGAGAGCTGGGATGGCTGGAACTCTCCAAATTCCATCCCCCTCCTTTTGAGGTTTCCTCCATGGACTTGGTGGGACAGAAAGAAGTACCACTTTTAAGACCTGAAACACATACACCCTTCAAGTTGCTCCCTCCCTGCAGAGCTCCCCATCAGTGATGTTGGTTACTCCAGCGGGTCTCTCTGCCTCTGCTGGAGCCTCATTCCTCCCTCTCGCTTTTCTTCATCCCCTTTTCAGATACTTCCCAACTTGGAACCCCTAGGTGTAATCCACCTTTGGGATCTGGGATCTCTCACTGTCAAATGGGGAGGGAAGACCCCCTCCCTGACTTAGGATGGGGTAGGGCAGCTTGGATGGACAAGAGCTCACCTAGGACCGGAGGCAGAGCCCAGCCAAGAATTCTTCTAGACAGTTCAGGAAGCCTGGAACTCCAGGAGAGTGAAGAGGCTGGGAATGTGACCTGGAAAGGGAGAAGGGGCCTGGAGGTGAATTTAGGTGGAGCCCCCACATCCCTGACTATTTACATGAACTTACTTTTATGGTGGTTGTAAGTTTAGGCATGTTGGCTAACAGAAGCATGTCCTGGAGCAGAGAGGGACAAAAGACCAGGAAGGAGAAAGGAGATGAAACAGAAGAAGACCAGTTTACCAAAGCTCTCCGAAGCTAGAAATTCTGACGCACATAGGAGAGTGACCGGAGACTTTGCAGGTGACCATGTCCCATTCTTGACCATAGCCCAATGCCCTTGGCCCTGAGGACAGGAGCTGCCGAGCACCCCCTCCACACACACACGGAACCCAGTGACCCAAAGCTTGCCTGTCACCTCCCCACCCAGTCCCCCACAGGGTGAGTCAGGGAGTCTTCATCCCGAACTCTTGTCCTGCTCCTCCCCCTACACCCCCAGAAATCTCTAGTCTGGGGATTCCCAGTCTCTTCATTAGCTTTTCAGTAATTATCCCATAAAGGCCCCGAGAGGTCCTTCCTCTCCCCATTTCAGAGATGAGAACATTGAGGCCCTTAAGAAAGCTAAAAAGCTCAGCAGAAAGCCACCCATCAGGCGGGAGAGAGTAGAGTGGTGGGGGGTTAGGAGGCACAGCTGCCCCCCTTCCTGCAATCCTAGGCAAAACTGGGAGGACAGGGCCAGCACAAGCCCCCCGGGGAACCCAGGCGTCAGGACAGAGGCAGGCTCCAGGGAGGGGCTTCCCTGTCCCTCCCCACCTTCCAGCCCAGAAAATCAGGGTGAGGGGGGAAACAAGCTGAGGAGACCACACAGGTGGAGTAAATAATGTTAATACGGGAGCATTATCACTAGGGCATTTCCTCATGGATAAATGTCTCAAATACCAAAGGATGCCTCCAAATTACAGTTAATTACAGAGTTGATTTGCATAAATTATAAGGTGAGCATACAAATTCTTTCAATCGGTTCCATATGCTTAGGTAGCAGGTCCAGTCCAAAAGATGGGAGAATCTTGGGGTGGGGGGAGTCGAGAGGAGGAAAGAGGCTCAGCCCTTGGCCTGGACCTGCTGGCCCACACGGCTTCCCTCAGGCTCTGGATCAGTAAAGGGTATATGGAGACCCTGACTGGTTTGGGGGAGGGGAGCCATTAACACAACCTGGACCCTATTTGGCAGGAGACCCCCTTTCCTCCCCTATTCGCACCTGGGAACAACGTGGTTTCCCACCACCAATGACGAGGTAGGAAGCCCGGGGGGTGGGCGCAGTGGAGCC